TAAAAATATCTACATAAGTAGCGGTGACATAACTATTATTTTATCAAATGACTTATGAAAATAAAGAAAGAAAGTAAAAGAAGTTTAAGCATATAAATAATAAATAGACAATTTAAGTTGGGACAGAAAGAGTACATTGGAAAAATATTGATGGCATTTTTAACTTTAAAATCAAAAAATTACTTAAGAACCCAATCATGAATTTTAAAGCCTCCATTGAGTCTATTTTTTAAAAGAAAAAATGATGAGCCCATTCTCAAGCGTTCCCTCAAACCTAGCCGGACGGTCCATGAGAAAAGGACAAATTGAATTTTGATCGCAGATTAGATTCTGCACCTGATATTTTGATTGCGGATTAGATTCAGACATGACAAGTTATTAAGGTTAAATTTTGTACCCCACACAACTTAAAATAAACATTGCTACTCATAATACGGAGTATCTGTTAATATATATCCAAGTGATTAAGGTTAAACACTTGTACCTACTCACTTAAATACACATCACTACTACTCATATTATCTGTTAAGATCAGATTTAGGTTAATAATTAGCACATCAAGGCTAACAAATTCTAGCTACCACCACCATGGTTTCTTGAAAAAATGCATATACTTAACAGTGCACAACTAGGTTGTAATATAGTGCACCATTTTCTTGTTTGCATTTTTCATGAGAAGACTACTTTATATAAATATATATCCAAGCTAATTACTAAGCCATTCATTATTAATCATGGGGCAGCAACCATTGTTCTTACCATCTCCAGCAGTAGCTTGAACTCAGCCTCCAAGTAAACTTTCTCCTCCTGTGAAATGATCCCACGGCGTTTCTTCAGCATGGATTTGAGAACGGTGATGTTTCGCTTGATTGAACCGAACAAGAGAATGTCCTCGTACCCAGAGTCCGAGGGAAGCACGGGTTCCGGATTTTGAGCCATCAATGGAGCATCCGAACAGGGACGAAGCACTAGTGTACCTGCACATGAAAAGAAGTTCCAGTCTTTTTTGTCAACTAAAAAAGGGGTTACAATGGACAAAGTTTCAGTCTTTTACCAATTTCAGAGCTTGTATAGGGAAATGATAGGTGCTTGCTCTTCTTCCTCTTCCTTGGAAGAGGACTCCTCTCATGTTCTTCTTTGTTGGGAACCTTCAAATTGTCAAGAGCACCATTTTCTCTGCACCCAATGGCCATAGCCTTCATTTTCTTCAAGCTTTTATCATCTGCAATGGCCATAGGCTTCCTCTTTTCTTTCCTTCGGCAATACACCTTATCATCAGCAATCGCCGGGCACTTCATTATAGGAACCTGCACTATTGCGGCGTTGAGATCAATCATGTCAGAAGCAAGAAATGTGGGCATGTCTTCAAGCCCTTCAATGGGTCTCGGCTCGCGAAAACAGCACAATGGGTATCCACCCTTTGCCCGGTAGAAAGCAGATAGCCACTTAGTCAAGACGAAAGTCTCCATCCTAGGAAGCGAAATGGCCTGCGCAAGATTCCTCAACATCACAAGAACCAAACGAGGTTCGTATCTAGGCAGCGAAAGCTTGCGGGTATCACAATTGGGCACAAGAACTCGCGCCTTGATTCCAGCATTCCCAACCAATGGCCTACACTTGCAAGTCGTCATTTCCAGCTCCAATAAGGTCCCGATCTCAGCAAGGGACTTCTCCACAGCATTGAGGAAGCTCTTCACGCCGCTCTGCCCTGACATTTCCTCAAAGCTCTCTGTGAAGGGCTTCAGCTGTGATGGGAGGCACCAAGAGAAGGAGCTGTCCCCAAAGTAAACCACAAGCAGCCTACCAGGCTGCCTGTACTTCAGGGCAAACTCAGAAGCATTAGAGGGGTCATAAATCCGGCCTGGCCACCACGGGCGCCACTTCACTTGTCCCCAGACAAAGTCGCCTACCGAATAAGAGTCCTTAACCATACAATGATCAGCTTCCTTCTCTGCTCCTCCTTCCTTGTTCTCCCCAGATTTAGTGAACCCGAGCTCCATTTCCGGCTCTCTCAAACCTTCAGCCAACGGCCTGTTCTCCATATACCCATCAGCAGCATCAACCGGGAAAGATTCCACATTGGGAACACTCTTCAAATACCCAGTACTCTCATCCAACATTGGCACCAAACCAAGGATTTTGGGAGTGTTGGGTTCAGAAAAACCAAAGGTTAGGGTTTCATCTGTCTTCTCCGTTTCCATTTTAGGGTAAAAAAACTTCAAAGAAAGCTTCTTTATCTACTTCCCCTGAAAGGGCGAACAGATTATTAGAGAAAAAATAAACGAAAATGAGAAATCTGGGCAGAAATGCAAACATATAAGTATAATAATCCAAGAAAAGGGACTTGCCACTTTACCAGCAAAGAAAAGTAGAAAATGTGGAGAGGGAGAGATCAGAGGTGGTTCTTGAGCTCGTTAGGGTTCTTGGGGTTTCCCAAGTCCGAAGAAATGATTCAAGAAAGCTTTGGAAGATTAACGGGCCATTTTTGTGTTTTCAGCTTCTTGATCGCCGTTCAGACCGCTGGGCAAAGCAGGGTGTTGGGTTTTGGCGTTTCCGCTGCACGAAAGCTGTCCACTGTGGAGATTCCTCAGAGCATCAAATCATTTATTACGGCTAAAAAGGCTTGTTTTATTTACTCGGTAATTATGAATGTTGTACGAGAAATAGAAATACGCTCGTACACTTCCTAGCTACATGACAGGATACTATGAACCCACAATTTGAACGACTGTACCACCTCGGCAAAAAAATGAAAAAAATAAAATGGGGGTGGTTCTTGACACCGGTCTGGTCTTCTTGAATCGGTAGTCTCATTCAATTCTTGACCATTTTTAAAAATTTTTAATTTTTTTCAATCACAATTGGTAAATTTTAACTACAAATTAAATAAAAGTGATGATTTATATTTTTTTAGAAATCACAATATATAGGAGTAAACATTGAGAAAGTACTAAAATAGAAATTACACGTTTTTATTCCCAAAATAGAAGTTTGTACTGTATATTAACAATACTTTTTGGTACTCCGTATTATACATTGTCATGATTGACATTGTGTGTGTTTGTGTGTGTGTGTGCATTTTAACACTTATTTTGGGAATAAAAACAAGGAACTCGTATTTAGGTATATTTTTTATGTTTTATTTATACTTTCGTCTTTTTCTCAATAATATTATTTGATTCATTTCATAAAATATTTTCAAAATATTATTTATCTAATTAATACTCCCTCTATCCACCATAGATCTTCCCTGATACTATTCACAGAATCAAACTTTACTCACTTTGTTTGCTTATTTTAACCATTCATTTCATAAAATAAAATAGCATTGTCACCTCTAGCTTTGTAGATCTTTTCATGTATTTTATTACTATATAAATTTTATTTTTAAATTTTATCTTTACAATCAAATAAATTGAATTGAAAATAAAGTCGGTCAAACCTCGTAACACGCAATGAGAAGATCATTGGTGGACGGAGAGAGTATATTATATATTTTTTATTTAATTATAGATCAAAGATTGAAAATGGTTACTTGCAAAATTAGACAAATATGGGGTATAAGTCAATTTTTCAATGAGGGCTCGTATTTGCTTTTGTTATGGGTTTTTGTAAGTCAGCAATTTGAAGTCTCGGAAACATATTTTCCTCAAAAGAAAAATAAAATATAAGACCATTACCAAAAAAGTAAAGAAAGACAATTGTCATCATATGCTAGGCATCCAATTCCCATCAGACATGTCGGGATTGTAGTCGCACAAATCAAAGATTTCGATCCATTTCACCCGGACGGCCTCGTTTGAAAATTGGAGCCCACTTAGAACAACCATTGAAGATTTTTCACGCATTATCATACATGAATGCAAAAATTGTGCTTGATATTTTTCAATCCGATCGAACAGTTGAGATAAAAGTTATAAAAACCAGATGATGGATATCCGGGCCCGGTAATCAGATAGAGACAACCCAATTGAAGGTGGAGTGTCGGGTCTGGCCCGATACTCGAATGAGTTGTGATTCCCCAAATCCTGGGATTGAAGGGGTTGATGACTGATTTTCCGCCCGATAATGTAGCACACAAAATATTACATGCCTTGTATACGGTAGAAGTAGATTATAAATAAACGGCAAACCCTCCATTGTAAAGTAGGGTGAATATAGCTTTTATAAACACACAAGAGTTCTAATTTTCTCCAGGACAGTTCTTAACTTCTTATTATTCTTTTGTTCATTCGTCATAGTTGTTGGGCTAAATCTAATCACCAGAAATTGCTTGATTTTTTATATTTATATCCTGTTACTTGAAAGCAAATATGTGCAAAAGGTGGCACTGCATCATGAATCGTGATAGACCTTCGATCACCACTCTTTCCCCTCTATTTGCATCCTGATTTCAATTTCATTCCTAAAGTTTCTCTTCTTCAAAGAGTAATTTCTAAAGTTTTTGTTGATTTGCTTGTCCATCTGAAGTTAATTTGAAATCTGTAATTGTTTCAAATACTAAAAGGGTGAGGTTTTGTTAAATGATCTGAACAAGAGAGCGTGATGAACATAAACTAAATGTTGTAGCAATAAGAGTGAATTTTATATGATCATTTAGGTATAATTGCAATATTTTAGACTTATTTAGGACCATTTCTAATGTTTAATTTAAACCTATGGCAGTAATACTCTTATAAGAAAAGGGAAATATTAGCATAAATCCAATCTAATTACGGGTTGTTTCAAAATGCGATCTCTCAATTTGTACACTAATCGTTGTCTTTCGCGTGAATCTCACATTGCCCCCACAAAGATTAAGAGTTAGAATAAAAAGTATATAAACGTCATGCTTACTTTATGAGGTTTGGTTAGAGTGACGCGTAACTATTAAAGTTGTTATTAATATGTTTGGGCCAACCCAAATAAATTAACAATCTCCACCTTTGGCCCAAAGTAGTGTACATAGTTTGACAAGGAACCGCGGGACTCATCATAGCCTAATAACCACTAAATGTGTAATCAACAAATGAGAACACACGTAGTGGTGGAGAGTTCACTAAGTACTCTCAAGTCACGAAGACTAGGCAACATCACAAAGCATGCCAAAAATAACTCACGAAGAGTCGAACTCTACCATTGGGTCATCGAGTTCAAAAANTAAATTAACAATCTCCACCTTTGGCCCAAAGTAGTGCACATAGTTTGACAAGGAACCGCGGGACTCATCATAGCCTAATAACCACTAAATGTGTAATCAACAAATGAGAACACACGTAGTGGTGGAGAGTTCACTAAGTACTCTCAAGTCACGAAGACTAGGCAACATCACAAAGCATGCCAAAAATAACTCACGAAGAGTCGAACTCTACCATTGGGTCATCGAGTTCAAAAACAAAAGAAAAGCAAAAGTCACAAAGACTATAAAAAAAAGAACAAAAGATCAGCACACACTCACAGAGATAGGTTTAAAATCTTTTGACATAAGGTAAATTTTTCAACAGGTAAACACTTAGTACCCATGTCAGCTGGATTAGATTCCGTAGGAATTTTCTCCAACATGACAGTGCCCTTTTCAACTATGTCTCTAATAAAATGAAACCTAACATCAATATGTTTTGTTCTATCATGAAAAACGGGATTTTTGCATAGTTGAATGGCAGATTGACTATCAGAAAAAACAACCACATTCTTATCGAGCAAGCATATTTCAGATAAAAGACCTTTAAGCCAAATGGCTTCTTTAAAAGCATCTGTTGCTACAACATACTCAGCCTCAGTAGTAGATAAAGCAACAATGTGTTGAAGTTGAGATTTCCAACTAATGCAAGAACCACACAAAGTGAACACGTAGGAAGTAGTAGATTTTCTATTATCCCTATCGTTTGCATAGTTAGAATCCACATAGCCAATCAATTTAACACTTTTATCACTTCTTGAAAAAGTTAAACCAACATTCCTAGTAGATTTTAAGTAACTCAAAAGCCATTTTAGAGCATTCCAATGAGCCATACCAGGATTAGACATGTATCTACTCAAACAACTAACAGCATAAGCAATATCAGGCCTAGTGCTAATCATAAGATACATCACAGAACCAATAGCATTCGAATAAGGCACACTTTTCATTTCATTAATTTCATCTTTAGTTTTAGGGCACATATCCTTACTCAACACAAAGTGAGCAGCTAAAGGAACATCCACAGGTTTAGCATCAGACATAGCAAATTTACTCAAAATCTTATCAATGTAGGAATTTTGATTTAAAACAAGAGTAGATTTCTTTCTGTCCCTAACAATATTCATGCCAAGAATTTTTCTAGCATCTCCTAAATCTTTCATGTCAAAATTTTTGCAAAGATAATTTTGAACATGCTCAATAGACTTTAAGCTAGGACTAATGATTAGCATATCATCCACATAAAGGAGAAGAAAAACAGGAACAGAGAAAGTGTTCTTGAAGTACAAGCAGTGATCAGCATTACTTCTCTTAAAACCAAAGTTTTTCATGCAATTATCAAATTTAATGTTCCATTGCCTAGGTGATTGTTTTAAACCATACAAAGCCTTTTT